TTTTACTATTGAAAGCCAAAAGACCAAAGTAAAATTTTGCTGTTGACAATTATAGCAGTTCATGCTATTATTCCCAATTGGCTCCTCTACTGCCCAGCAATGATCTCCATGGCAACTACTTATGATTTTATAAATCTCAGATTGCGATGAAGTGGGGAGGAAGTGAGAGTAAAGGAAAAGATCTTTACAAGCCAAGATTTTCTTTTAAATGTGAAAGAGCTTTTAATAAAAGCACACACTCTTTGCTTTCCAGTTTATAGCCATATCTTGAGTGTCTGAGTACTGGATATAACCTAGACAAATGAAATGTACATCTCGATCAATCAAATATTTATTGAATATACACTGTACACCCAGCACTTCGCTAGGTACTGTCAGGGATACAAAAGAAAAATCAAGGTCTAGGTGACCATCATGATTTCATGGGGAAACAAAAGGGATACCGAAGGAATAGCTGAATCGGAGTTGAAAAAGACGAGTGGATTGATCTGAGTGGAAGTGCCTATTGAGGAATGACGACAGGTGAGTGGAGGAAGGTGGAAAAATTTGGGTTGTGGGCCGACAAAGCTTACCTTCTGTACCTGAGTTTAACTTAAACAATTGCCTCCCTTTCTGTAAAACACTGCCAGGGCTATTCTCATCATGGCTCGTAGTGATTGTTTCATGCCCAAGTTTCCCTGATTATTCCCCATCATCTTAGTATATGTGTGTGTGTGTGTGTGTGTGTGTATATATACTGCTGAGGATATTACCCAACTTGACCTGATTTCCCTTCCACCCGCCCTTCCCACACTGTCCCATACACTTGCATTGTGCTCCTTGTAGAATATGGTAAATCAGCAGCAACTGCCTCTAACAAACCTGTTTCTTCTGTGAACATGACCTTCATCATCTTGCTATAACAATTTAGCTGGCACCTGAGGACATGGCTTCCCTGGAAGAACTATACAATTAAAGTTCCCCCACCCACCTTCCATTTCTAGGACCCACCCAAACTCCATTTTCAGAACCAACAGGTGGAATTTATGATCTCCTTGCTCTTTATTCACTTTGAAAAATTGTTTCCTTATTTACTAAAACAAAACAAACAAAAAATAGACTAAAAAATAGGACCTTTGACTATCAGACTATCATGTTGCCTCCCCTTGTTGCTGTCAGCAGAGTCTTACAGGATATACCCATGAATACATTATAACTGAACCACTGCCTTCTTCTCCATTGTTATTTCTGTTATCATTCTGGGCACTTTCAAATTCCAGTAGAGGATTTATCTAATACACTGATTTTGTAGTTGGGGCCTCTTCAACAACAATAATCTTTTTCTTCAAACCACAAGCAGGCACTCCATGGATCTGTTACAGATTTTGTTACCACCCTAAATTTTGCATTTCTAAGACTCACTATCAGGCATCCGATTTCTCTCTCTTATCCTTCTGGATTCCATGTTCTAGTATTGCCATCCCAACAAACCTTCAAACATATTGAGCCCTAATAGTCGGTTAACTATCAAATTTACTCCTCTTTAATTCCTCTTCCTTATCTCTCCTCTGCCATAAAAAAATTTGAATAGTAATAATATTTCAAATGTAGAAAATGAGTAAAAATTAATGTAATAAAAATTCATTTGTCCTGGGCTGGCCCGGTGGCGCACTGCTATAGTGCGCCGCTTGGGAAGTGCGGCGGCGCTCCCGCCGAGGGTTCGGATCCCACATACAGACCGGTTCCCGCTCACTGGCTGAGCGAGGCGCGGGAGCAACACCGAGGGTTGTGATCCCGTTGCGGGTCTCGGTCCGGTACGGGGGCGACACTGAGGGTTGCGATCCGTTGCCGGACACGGAAAAAGACAAAAGACAAAAAAAAAAAAAAA